ACAAAAACACAGTCTGTGGGAAAAAACACATTGTGGGAAAAAGCACACAAAACGCACACAGTGTGAAAAAACACAGTGTGTGTGTTTTTCCCACAGTGTGTGTGTGTGTGTGTGTGCTTGTTTCCCACAGCGTGTTTGTTCGGGGTCCGCGCTGGCTAACACATTCTGCCTCTAGTTTCGGGAACCGCCTCATGTGCAGTCTTGCGCGGCGAGCGCAGCCGACGAGTTACAAGGTCTGGGCACGCGTCGCGCTTCTTCGTCTGACTCTCCCGGGCGCCTCCGTCATGGTGCCCCCCCTTCCCCCCCCCCCCACACCACACCCTCCTCCTCCTCCTCCTCCTCCTCCTCCTCCTCCTCCTCCTCCTCCTCCTCCTCTTCCTCCTCCCCCCTCCCCCCCCCCACACCCCTGCTTCGAAAAGGCGCCGCCAGTTTCCCCCTTGGTGCACTGCTAGCAGCGCCCTCAGAGCCAGCTCGGGGCCTGCTCTGCTGGCCTTCTTCTTCCCCCCCCTCTCCTCGTCGTTTCACCCCCGCTGTGCCACCCCGGATTCGCAGTCCCGCCCGGCAGCTTCTCCAGGCCCAGCTCGCCACTGGGCCCTGCCCGTGGCGCCTCTCGCGGCGGCGCCCCTGGAGGACGAGGCAGCCCTCGAAGGCCGGGAGAGGAGAAGGCCCCCCTTCCAAGAAGACAGCGGGGCTTCTTATGAGGGGTCAGAGGCTCCCAGGACGCCTTCCCAGCATGCAGGATGGCTTCTGAGACGCCCCCGCCTTCTATCGGGGGCCCACCCCTTCGTGCCTCACCCGCGCGCGCGTCGTGGAGTTCCCCGACGTGCCGATGCTCCACCTGTGTGGGGAGGCGGTTTGCCCCACAAGATCTCCCCGCACGTGTATCCCGAGATCCGGCACCAGGTGCGCGCGTCTGCGCGCTCGCTGGCGCGTTCGCATGTTGTCTCCATTGGCCGCGCGATGCGGATCGCTTTTTTGTTTCTCGGTGCATTTGGGTAGCTTCATTCTCACTCCTGAAGAATAGTAGCAGTTGATCCCCCTGTCTGGTGCTCGTTGTTCTTGAATCGGAGTGCCCCCTGGTTGGGATTTCCGGGTTTTTCGCCTGGTGCCCAGCGGTGCGTCGTAGCTTACACCACACAGCTTGCACAGCATGGCTTGCACCGCATAGCTTGCACCACCTTTAGCTCCCCCTCCTCCTCGTCCTCGTCCTCGTCCTCTTTCCTCTTCGTTCAGGCCGTGTCTCGCGCGTTGAGTGGCCAGGCGTGCTGCTTCGCAATGGCAGCTGCTGTGTGAGCTATGTAAGGCTTGTCGAGGGGTGCGGAGCTTGCGTTACATAGGGTAAAAAAGCAGCTTGCACCGCGTAGCGCGCACCACGCATATTGAACCACACAGCCTGCGCTGCGCAGCTTTCACCACATGGCTTGCGCATCTGGTCAAGGTGTTGCTGGGCAAGCAGTGTATGCTGCAGGGCTGGGCCAATTTGGACAGGCTGTTACCCTCGGGAGAATTCAACGTGCAGTGGGGGCGAATTCAATGCGCAGCACATTGTTTTGTTTTGTTTGTTGTTGTTGGTGAAGCCGGGTGCCGGGTGCCTGGTCCCCCAGGCTTCTGCTGGCCGGCTTCTGAGAGAGGGCGCGCCCGGCTGCCGGGTGCCCGGTCCCTCCCCCCCTCCAACAACGAACAACAGAGCAACGCCAGGAAACCAAGCAAATAAAATAACACGAACACTGAGCACATACCCTTTCGCACATCCACCGGCTTTGTCCTCCATGATGCAAGGGTGCACCAGCGAGGCGATCCCTAAGGACTCCCTACAGACCCTCATGGGATCCCTGTGGGATCCCTACAACAACTCCTGGAATCCCCTATGGAATCCCTACAGACCAGGGTCCTGGAGCGTGACCATTTGTCTGTCGTCGAGGGAGCATGGGAAAAGAAGTGTTCCTTGGGGCCCTCGCCGATCGATCTGGCCCGTGAGATGCCACAGGACGACAGGGTCGACAACTCTCGTCGCGATTTGTCGCATATATTTTTCTGCGGCCGCCCTCCTCCTCAATCTCCCTCTTGCTGCCAATTAATTCGTGCGCCGCGCGTCCTCGGCTACTAAAGCGCGCGTGCAGATCGCCTCTGCTACGCTGCGACGGAATGACGGGGGGGAACTGGGACGGTGGGCTGTCCGAGACTGGAAAGTTGCAGATTGCAGCGTGGAGGGAGGTTTGCTCTGCGATGTCATCGCCCGTGGATCCCAGTGTCCTTCTCCCTCGCAGGTGAAGGTGTCCACGTTTCTTTTCTTGAAGACCCCGCCTGGCTGGGCGGTGCTGCAGAGCGACATACCGAACCTGCAGCGGCCTTTCCGCGTCCTGGCCGCGCTCTTGGACACCGACTGGTATTTCCCGGACGGGTTTGGGATGAGGTGGAAGGGCCGCCTCGGGAAATTGGATCCTGCTCCGATCTGCCCGCTCCCACGAGATCCAGGGCGGGTTGTTCGGGCGGGAGGAGGAGAATGAGGAGGAGGAGGAGGAAGAGGAGGAGGAGGAGGAAGAGGAGGAGGAGGAGGAGGAGGAGGAAGAGGAGGAGGAGGAGGAGGAGGAGGAAAAGGAGGAGGAGGAGGGGAAGGAGGAAGGAGAAAGGAGGAGGAGGGAAGTGCGATGAAGGAGGAGGGAGGAGAGAGGCCGAAGGAGGGAGGCGGAAAGAGGGACGACCGAGTAGGGAGGAGGGAGGAGGAATGAGGGGGAGGGTGCCGCTGGATGCCCTCTTGGGGCCTCCTGGAGGCTTCCTGGGAGCCTTCTGGGGGCCTCGGTGGGGCCTCTTTGGGGGCCTCCTGGAGCCCTCTGGAGGCTCTCCGAGGCCCCCGGGCGACCCCTAAGGGCTTCTGGGAGCCTCTAAGGAACCTCTTGGCCTTTAGAGGCCGGCATGGTGCCCTCTCTGGGCAGTCGTGGGTCCCCCTTTGGGCGGTTTATGGCCGTCTTGGAGGTCTACGGGGCCATCTTGGGGCCGTCTTGGGGGTCTCTTGGGCCGTCTTGGGGCCCGCTTGGGCCGTCTTGCGGGCCTCTTGGGGGCCTCTGGGGCCGTCTTGGGGCGTCTTGGAAGCCTATGGGGCCGTCTTGGAGCGTCCGAAGCCCGAAAAGACGAGGACGCTGCACTCATGGAATAACCTGGGGGAAATCATTGATTTTGCCTCTGGGAGCCCTCTTGGGGCGCTTGGGGGCCTCTTGGGCAATCTGGAGGTCTTGAAGCCATCTTGGAGCCCTCTTGGGGCAACTTATGGGCTTTTGCTGCTTTCTCGGGGCTCCCTTGGAGCCCTCTTAGGGGGCCTGCCAGGCCAGGCATCCTGCTGCTGTGCATCCGATGTGTTTGTGTGTGTGTGTGTGTGTGTGTGTGTGTGTTGGGTTTGTGTGGGTGGCCTTGTGGGACATCTTGGAGGCCGTGGATCAAAGGAACAACAGTCTCCTGGTGCAATAACTTTAAACGGAGAGGGTTAAAGGCGAGATGTATATCGAGCATGCACCGCTGCCGTGCCTGGCTCAAGCCGGGCCCGGCCTAACATGTGATTGTGCCTCATTGAGGCGCACTACTTGCATCTGAGATCGGAAAAGACCTTTCTGTTGACGATGCCCCTTCTATCCTTTACTCCAGATCCCATGCTTCATCTTGCTCTCTTGCTCATGCGATATGAGACAAAGCCTGGGATATGGGAGCGCCTAAGGCGGAACATATATCTTGGCTTACCAGTGCGTTTTCGACTTGGTAGCGGAGCTGGCTACACACTCGTGTGGCTGGCTCTCGCTCTAATACCCATAATCCACGGCACAACTTGGTGGACTACTACTACGGTGGAATACCATGTTGCGCCGGCTCTGCGAGGAGCGGAGCCAGTCCGCGATCGAGCTAGCGGGGCGACCCGCGAGCTCGAGACGCTCTCTCCTACTTCACTGCGCTACTTCACTCCCGACTTCCACCAGATGCCAATCGGCAACTCGATCGAGAACGTGGTCACCCTGCGGGGCTACCCGCAGCGGGGCCACCTGCATCCCGTGCCGGTCAGGCGCCTTACGGCTACTACGCCCGAGCCTGACAAACCACAGCCTAAACCAATCACCGAAGCCGAGATGCACATGCACTGGATTAAGATAACTATCTTCGGCATTCTATGGGTGATAATGGGATGTGCTGTGGGCTACATGCGGCAGGGGATGGACGACACGCGTACTACCGGCCCTTCGTGGGACCCAGCCGGTACTACGCCCTTTCGCGAGTACGTTCGCGAAGTACATGCATGGATAAACGTAACGAGCGGCAATATGACGCCACCTCAGCAAGCTGCAGCACTACAGCGTGGCCTTCAAGGCCTTGCTCGTCGTATCGCCATGCAGGTCCCCTCCCAGATCATCAACTATGGTGTAACTGTCAACGGACAGCCAACGGATGCAGTTACTTATATACTGTACCTATTGAGCACCAAATTTGAAAATCTGGAAGATGAGCGCCAGCTCAACTCTGGCACTGCCCTTATCGACTTTCGCGTCGAAAGGGGCGAGCGAATCGACTCAGTGTTAGCTCGATTCGAGATGGCCCGTGACGAGGCTAACTCTGTTGGCTTTGTCATCCCCAACTTTCAGATCCTAACGCTGATCCTTTTCAGAGCGTTAGGCGTTGGCGCGTCACGAGCCCAACACCTGCTGGAGCCCTTTAATCATCAGATGCCCAGAACACAAGCAGACTATGACAGGCTGCTGACCAGGATGAGGAACTACGGGCATGTTGCCGAGCGCTCTCCTGGCAACATTGCGGGTATCTTCACAGGGCACCACTCACATGCAGGTGTCTACGCCACGACTGCGGGGTCACCCGCTGGTCCTGGCGAGCCAAGTCCCTGGGCTGATCCAGCCGATATGCCTAACGAGGCCACTGCCCTCTTAGGGCAGACTGGCCAGGCATCGGCAGAGGCAGCGGAGGCGAACGCCTGGTCGAACTACACGCCGGGCGCCGCCTACACTGCAAGCCCGCCCTCGGGCACAACCCTCTGGGGCCAAGCGGAGCCATCCGCTCAAGGGTCTCAGCCACCCTCTCCGTTTGAATCTGGCACTGACACAGATACCTCATCTGACGGTGATCGCAATGGCATAGTCTCTGCTGGTAATGACTATCCAGCTGATGACACTCACCTTTCTGAACAACAAAGAGCGGAAGCCGCTTTTATGGCTTATCGCAAATCAAAACGCCGTTGGAGGCGCTTTATGAAGAAACCGGTCAGAAAAGTGAGACGTGCAGTACGCCGACATTTCAAACGATATGGAAAGGGTCGTGGCAAAGGGGGTCGCAGACGTCGTATGCATGGTAGGGGTATTACTGCTTTCCTCACGTCCTTAACTGATATAGTTTTTGAAGAAGTTCTTATCGGAGGCAAAGGTCGGGGTCGCAGGCGGACCTCTGGTAAGGGAAAAGGGCGGAGGGGCAACCCTAGGGACGCTTCTGGCAATACTATGAAGTGTCATACATGCGGTAGTACAGAGCATTTGCGCGATCAATGCCCGAAAGGGAAAGGAAAGGGATCCGTACATTTGGCTCAAAACTCTTTTATGGATGACATAGACTACATTGACTACGAGTTTTACGTCAATCCAGAAGCGGCTCCCGCCGCGGGCTCCTCCACGTACTACGTGATGGCCCGCTGCGCTGATGTGACCGTAGCCCTGGAAGAGTACGCGGTGACCCTCTTCGACGAGTTCCACGGCTGGGACGAAGTCGACGAGGTCGCGTTCAATGCCTGGTTCGGTCTTCCAGCGGGGCCACCCGCCGACGACGAGATCTCCGAAGCTGAGACCGTCCCGGCGACCGAGGAGGAGCTCGCCGCCGCGCTGGCACCGCAGGTGATTGGCATGCCGTTGCTGCCAGATCTTCCGCGAGCTGGCTCGGAAGCGGGAGACGCTGATGACGAAATGCGGGGCCATCCCGCTTATTCTGACTCTGAAGAGGCCGAAGAGGACTATAAGGACATGCTCCAAGAGCAGGTCGCAGAAGCGATCCAGCTCCTGAGTGCGCCAGCACATCAGCAGATAACCATGAACGACCTGCTGTCGCGCCCAGGGGCCGCAAGGCTGCGTCCATACCTGGATTCGGACATGTCGGCACCTCAGATGCTGACAGCACTCCAGGCTCTAGCGGGGTCACCCGCCGAAGCGGCGCCAGCCGCAGCAGCGGGGCCACCCGCTTGGTCTATGGACGTATTCATGCAGGGCTGCGACCAGATGGACCTCAACGACCTCACGATGGAGCAGCTAACCGACATCGGGTACTTTCAAAGCCCGTATCAGCACGTATTCATGGTCCAGGACAGCTCAGAGGACTCGGAGGACAGGCGCCATGCCAAGAAGAACAGACGACCATCGCCACCCCGAGACCCAGAGCACCGTCATGAAGATGAAAGGCCCATGGAACGTGGCAGTGCGTCAGCGGGGCCAGCCCGCAGGAGGAGCCGTTCAGCTCCACGACGCCCTACACATGATGCATCTGGCTACCCGTACAGCACGGAGCACTCCGTAGGTGTATCCGCTCAGTACGTGCCGGAGTGGTACATCAATTGGTACCCCGGCTACTCGATGGACGTGATCCGCCACTGGTGGTCCAAGGAGCACTGCAAACGGGACGAATCTGGCATGATAATACGTACCAAAGGTGGTAAGACTAAAACGCCAGAGGCTTGGGACCGAAGGGCTAAGAAACAGGAGATCATCAACGATCGCAAGACATACAGGAAACAAGTATGTCAATGCGAGCCTTTCAAAGGTCACATGCGCGGCTGTCCAATGGACCGCCCCTCCAGGAGCCCTCATCACGGTGAGACCCCCTGGAATTGGTCTCATGGAGATGACGCTGGCAACGTCCATGATCCTAACAAGAAGGTCCCTGGAGGAGGAAAGCGCATCACTGAAGCGTATCGCGTCCCTATGACCGAGGAGGTTGCTGACATTGTCAAGGAAAATTGGGAACAGCTTCCCAAAGACCATCGCCTCAAGGAATGGAACCGCCGATTCCATAAAGAGGTGGGGTCACCCGCAGAATCCAGCGGAGAAGCGGGGTCACCCGCAGACGCGGCGCCAGCCGCTGGGTCCGCGGATGAAGAGTGGATAGCTGTTGCATCTGCTGCCGGATCCGCCGCCGGTACTGACCAAACCGAACTGAATGAAGAATGGGCGGCGGAAGACGGCTCAGAGAATCCATTCCCTGATGGATGCGCCTGCTGGTACTACAGCTCCTCGGCACAGAAGTGGTTTTGCACGAGGGTACTTCACCGCCACGAAAATGGCAAGTAGAAGCTGGCCATAAAAGGTACTGCCAACATCGACCAGATGAGGCAGATCATCCATGATCATGGCCAGCCAGAAGGCCCTCCTAAAGACCCTCCTGGTCCACAACCAGGCAAGGGCAGCAGACCACCTCCAGGACCTGAAGCCGACTCCTCGTCTCCACCGTCTCCTGCGAAGAGGCACCCTTCCAAGA